AAAAAATGATTACTAGCACAAATAATGACTCACAGGGATTCTGCCACAGATATTTTTTAGCAGGAAGCATAGGTGTTAAATAAGAAAACACAATCATTCTTCACCTATGCTTAAACATACACATGCAATGTGAACAGTAAGGATGAACATTTACATTTTAGGAAAAGAAGTGGGAAAGTAAATAGTCATGGGGCAAAGTTAAGAGACATTGCTTTACAGTTTCATTCATTAATGAAATCCCACCTTTGAAGGGTGATCTAGTACATCTGCATTTTAAATGTATATTTTTATCACAGCAGACTGAAAGCCTCTGATGTCATCCGAGAATGTGAAGTGATATTTTGGAGGCACATGTAAACCTGGTGCCAAAGATCAACCATGCCCAGATATGCCAGGAGAGTCCTCAAGGTCTCCTTAAAGCAGTTTTTGTTGAAGGTCTGGCTATACTATGCCTAATCTGACACCAGGAACCACTTGTGAATAAGTTACAGGCCAAAGACTACTCAGGGAAAGTATATAATAAATACTTTTGAATTAGAAATACATCTAAGAGAACAACTTACTCTCCATGATTGAACTCATCTATCATCGTTAGTCAAATATTTGCATTGTGCTCACCATGATATTATGCAAGAAGTTTTTTGGCTAAAACATTCACGTGGATTCACTGCGCATGTTCTGGTGAGACACCACAACACTGCAAGCCCAACCTGGCCTTGAACTTATCTGGGACAACAAGAGCTTTAGTCCTCCTCCAGACAGATACTCTTTCCCAGAACAACCTTCCCACTTTGACATTTATCTTCCTCCTCCTGGACACTTTTACATTTCCAGGTTCCAGAAGACAGGACTGGAGAGAAACAGGAATCTCCTGGAAATGCCAGCGGAGCTGGTTCAGATTGACCAGGCTCAGCAAAAATCTCCCTGTTTTCTTTCTACCCAACCCCTCATACATCTCGAGACTGGACATGCCAGGAGTGGAAATCCTTCTGCCCTGACCTGCTTTGGTCTCACCCATATCATGAAGCACCTGGAGCCTGAGTGCTAAGAGAGTTATCCTGCCTACTGCAAGCTGCTGCATACAATAACAGCAGCAGACAGGTCATGTCACAGCCTGTGGAAATACAGTTTCCTGTATTGTTGGTACAAAGAAGAAAAAACACTATTTTGACTGCTCTTCCTTCTCTTGCACAGCACTTGGGTTGAAGACAACTTGGCTTGTTATCACACTTGCAGGAAGTACATTGTAGATCGTCTGGAATGATGAAATGAACGCTCGTACGAGCAGCCAATCTACTTTTAAAGTCATTGAGAGGGAAGTTGGTTTGTTTGGCAATATTTCTCTAGTGCAGACACATTTTTGTTGAACATATTAAGCCCAGACTTGCTTTTACATATTACTAGGGTTCATATGCAYGCAGTTTAAAAGAAGGGGTTGGGGAGCAGTCAACAGATCTGACATATGTTTTCAAACAGGAAAACTGAAATCCATTACTCACTTGGAAATATTGCAAAGACTTTACAAAGCCTAGAGCTGCCGAGACACTCTCATCTGACTTGTCTACGGCCAAAATTGTTCTCAAAGTGGACACAGTCTGTTCAGCCCATCCTCTGCTAGCTCATGTGCCATTATTACTCCTGAAAACTTCAGACCCTTCAYTCTGATTACACCAGGAAGGATACGAACTGATAACAGATGAGCCTTCATCCTAAAGATACAAGCCAAATACCCTTCATCAGGAATAAGGGAGAATCAATGCTCTTATGGCACTCCAGATATTACATCTTTCTCAGAACTGCTACTAGTAGGGGCTGATACCATTTTTTTCCCCTAAAATTAAAGGAATTATAGGCTATAAATTTTTCCTTCTAATCTTTCTCAGAACTAAGAGCAAATGGATTATTTTATAGCTTGCCATTGTACTTTYGATTACATGGGATCACAGCATCACAAAAGACTGTACCAGCGAACAGAGTTTATCAACAGCAAAATGAGACAAAGCAACCATTACATAGCAGAGGGTGATGTCTCTGAAGAAAGATACTAGGTCTGGCTCACATTCCTATTCAGCAGGAATCCAGCATGCTTCCCAAAGCAGGTCAAACTGATGGTGACTTTTCAATTCCTCCACACCTTGTGGCCTGAGCATGTGCTCCCTAGAYAATTTCCCCAGATGACTAGTGAGTCTTGTAACAAGTTGCTTACACTAGTTTTATATCATCTGAAGAGAAAATGAAGTTATTGACTTAAGGGCAAGGAAAATGTGCAGCAGAAGAGCCATTGCAGCTCATCTTAAACAAGGTGCTTCAATGATCCTTTGGAATAAAAGACAAAGCTCTTTTTAGAAAWTATGTAACCCACAGACATTAGGCCATGATCATCAATGATTCTACAGAGCAACTACTCCACCACCATTTTCTGTTATTCACAATATATGAAACAGTGCCCTAAAGATGGAAAATTATTCTACAGWAGCAAACTGACCACAGCGCCTTATTTTATAGTGCAGTCTCATCTTTTCTGTTTAAATCAGTTCCTTGTATCCCATTACAACGTCCCTGATTACATCTTTCTAACTCTTCTTATTTCCAGTTCTATATTTAAGGAAAAGAAGTGCTGTTGTCACTATGACTTTATGGGCCTGTCTAATTAAAAGGAAGCCCCTTTTCTCCATTCGTGCACAGTCACAGATTGCAGCTCAGCTCCTTTTGCTCTTTCACCGGCCTCGAAGAGGTCCCTCCTCCACACTCCCCAACGCGCAGTTTTCTGCTGAGCAGGGAGGACAAATTCCCCTACCCAGGCACTGGACTGCCCTGTCACACTCTGTATCACTAGCTCCTTCTGGAAATAGTAATTCCTTGGAATAACACTGTGCAAGGTAATCCCCCAGACCGTTCATAAGTACCACATAAAAGAAAGTTCATCTCCAGGTGGAATTCTCAACCATGCTTTTCCTCTTCATTAATAAGCTTTTCCAAGCTAAACAAGGTCAGTACATGTCTTTTTGTCTCTCACTTGCCTGCCCCTTTAATCTCCTTATGTCTCATTCCTTTTCTCAGCTGTCACTGCTCTCATAGTGACAGAGATATACAGTCTATGTTATTTTTTATGCCTCAGCTCACTGCTGTACCATATATTTTTTTTGCTGTCTCTTCCACAGAACAAGTGACAATTTYGTTCTCTCAGTAGTGCAGACACCTATGAGATGGGAAGAGCGGCTCTGCACCTGACGAAAATCTGGTGTGCACAAGGCTTGCAAATAATCACCTTGCAAACTGGAAAGGAATTGATCAGGTGGGACTTGACGACTCCTTTCACTCATGTGTCTACTTACTCCTCATTAGGGCTTAGGTGAGATTCAGGGTTTGAGGAAAATGTGGGAAGAGAAAGCTCATAGCAAGGCTATAGCCCCTGGCCAAAGCATTTATCTTCAGATACGGTAATACAAAGCTGTCTAGTTACCTCAGGTCCATACATTTTTCTRTGCCTAATGCCCATTAAACCCACCATGCTCCATTCTCATCTTAAGACAYAATTGGACCTCTAACTTGGCCTATAGAGAAAAGGAGGCAACTGTTTGGGTACCCAAATTACAGCTACAACAGAAAGACAACAGCACCCCACACCCCAATAGTTGGATAGCTCAGCCAAGGTAATTCTGAGTTCACTTCAAAATGATCAAATCTCCATGGGAGAAAAAAATAAATAAAAAAGTACCACCTCAGCACTTCTGCCTACAAAATCCTTCCTCAGTCCTGGGAGTTCAAATATCTGTCATAAAATCAGATTCACAGTATTAACCCAAATTTCTTAAACCTTCTTTACCTCTGTGCCATACCTCTATGACAAAATAAATTATTACAGAAAATCCATGTTTTAGTTTAGTTGTGACTTACAGCATTATTGATGCAATGTTCTGCTTCTCTCTTTGAATCATAACCACATGAATTGTCCAACATAATGAAGCAATACACATGTGCTCTGCATGTGCACTTTTAATAAAACATAGGCAATAAAAATCCCAGGAGACCCATCAAATGCCACCATGCAAAAACAAAACTAACTTGTCATCACAGCTTGCCAGGAGGTACGCTAAGCTCCTCACAATGCTGCTCCTCAGTGTATGTACTCTACAAGAGGTTAAATTAGTGACACTTTTACGTATTCCACTCTTTGGACTCCTGACTAGAGGTTGCATGAATTATGGTGAAGGTCAGACCAGGGGTGAACTTCACATTCAAGCACAAAAAAATAAAAATAAAAATAAAAAATAAAAGAATACAGCTTTATTGATTTTGTTGATTCTTGCTAACATATATATATATATTATATATATATTTGGTTGAACATTAAATTTAGGGAAGACTTTTCCCTCAAAAGTGACATCTATAAGCAAGAAAGAATAAAATTATAGCACAAAAGCTTTAGCAACCTTAAGTGTTTCAAGAATAATATCAGAATTCCTAAGCCTCAAAATCAATGTATTAATAATGAAAATTTTAGAAATTTTTAGACAAGGTTAAATAAAGAGTAGACATAAAAATACATATTAATATTTTTAAAGTATGTCAATAAGGATGTCTATCATCTCTAACAAACCAATGCAAATAGGATAATTCAAATTACATACAACAATACAATAAACAATGTCATATGCCCAGAAGACCTTCCAGTATTTCTTTTGCTATATGATATTTTCATGCTGGAGGAATATTAAAGCAGCATATGCAAGAAMTGATTCTGTAATGCAAAAATGCCCCAGGCTCCTATAGGATCTCAAAGGACTTTTGAAACATATRTGAATTAAATACAAATTATGCAGAGCACTTGTTAGCTTCTCCACTGAAGTCTACGACTTGTTTTTTGTCTAGTTCACAACTTCTTGCTGAGCAATATAAAATTCCCACATTCTACATCAGGGAAAATTTAAAACAATCAAATTCAGGTAAAACTCACGTTTCCAGAGAAATCTGAAGAGACAACTGACTTTGTCACTTACCTATACTCCAAGACCAATGACAAGACTTAAAGAAAGGAAGGTTTAATTTTTCTTTCGTATTCTGATTAGCAAACGTCTATTAACAGGCTCCTATCAAATTGCTAAAAGCTTCTCTGTCTGCAGGTTGATCTGAAAGAATAGTGMTCAGCGATGTCTATTGATTGCTTTTCTGGCTGTGCATCCCAAGGTCACTGTGGGATTGTTTGAGCAGTTTACAAATCTGGAAAATTGAAACATTCAGATCTTTTTTTTTTCTTTCCAGTTTACTTTCCTAATTGTGGAATCTTTATGCTCCCATCTATTTCTCATGCAAGATTAGCAGCTTGAATATGAAAATCTGGCCAGCATGGTCTTGATTTTTTTCATGGAAGCTATTTTTGTCTCTGAAATACACAACTGTCCTCTACGCTTGTATCACAGAGCACACAGGCTTGTAACCAACTAAATGTGATATTAGCACTTGTCTACGCTGACCTCTCAACTTCCCAGAGCAGACGCTTTCAGCAGGCTGGCCTGCGTCCAGCTCTCTGGCTGCTGTGCTGCTGSTTGCCTGGAGCCATCAAAACACATTGGAAGAAAGGTGGAACTGATCTGCGCTCTCATGCAAGCAATCTGGACCCCAGGGACCAGATCTTAGCCACTGAACTTAATTACAGAAACAGGACTGTCACATATTCCTCCACCACCCCCACCCCCCAGCTTTTGAGAATTCCCCTGCATTTTCCTTTCCTGCTTTTATCTCCTAAAACATGTGAGGGCTGCTTGGCTAAAGGCTCAGCTGGGAGGTGGCTGCAAGCTACCCTTGGCRCTGCTTCCTTCTGTCATGGTCCACCCTGGCGGACATGCACAGGGAGACTGGGAGAGCATCAAGGCCAGTGGGGCTCATCCTACACCGACCCGTGTCACTCCTGGAGACTAGGTCCCTGGAAGGGTCTGGGCAAAGTTCATGGTGTAGAAGAGTAAGAAAGGGCAAATCTCCCCAGGAAAGGGGCCAACTACTTCTGAAAGGTCAAAGACATGCAAAGAGGAAAGAGAAAACAAGACAAGGGTTTCTTTYATCGAAGTTTCTCGAACCCTTAGGCCATGCCTCGCCTATTACCCGTCTAACTGCAGTTGTCTGCCTTCAGCCTGGGTAAGTCCTGGCTCAGGACTGGCACAGAAGAAAAACTACATGTAGCCAACATCATAGCACAAGAAGAGGCAGAGTTTACATAATAATTTATTTACCTGTAACACAGAGGAAAGAGTTAAATAAAGCTGTCCATCTTCTGGTACTTCCTCTCAGAGCTTATTAGTTCAGAACACTGAATGCTGTGTCGTTTCTGACTTGATTTTTACATCCAGGTCCTGGTTCATATTATACAAGAGTTTAACCCAAACTTTTAGTTAYTCTTGGTTACAACTCTTGTCACCATAGACCTCAGACTGGCTGCATCTAGCACCCAATACGAACACCTAAACATATAGCATTACCGGAACTGAATCAAAATATAYTCCTTGTTTCATTGCTTTGCTGTCAATATTCCCGTATCCACTGTCCACCTCAGGCTGGGAAGTTCACAGTCCTAACAATATGCATTAAATACAAACCAAATTTTGAACAACCATCCAAGGTCGTAAGTCCTTGCCTATGAAACGCTGACAACTCCCAACTGATCCAGTTGGAGTAGCTGGAGTGGCAAGAGGACCATGAGAAACAGAAGTGTGTTCACACTAGTGTTTTATCCTTTCTTAAGGTCTCCTATTTGACAGTCTTCATCTCCCTTTATAAACACGGCAAAATGAAGGTAGCAGAGACTCCATTTTAAGAATGCAAAAAAATGCCTGAAGAAGTCAAAAGGTCGGTTCAGTGCCATATAGCATCTCTGAGGTAGGCATGGCACTAATCTATTCTCTTGAGTCATGTGCTTAAACCACAAGGCTGTAGAGCCTGAGAAATACATTTGTATTTTCTCATATACGCCCTCTTCATAGCAAGCTTCAGGTATGCCATAGAAATGTAAAGCATCAGAGGAATTTTCTCATATAAGCTAGAGATAGAAAGCAACACATAACAGAGGTGTATTTAAATTACATTTGACTATGCATGGGAAAGCAGGAAATTCATCTGCAAGAAAATTAGACAATACCAAGCTCCAATTCAAATTCTCTCACCTCTCGTATAATTTGTACTCGACCTTGCCTTTCTCTAAACAGCCCCTTTCACACGTAGCTCTTACCAAGAGTCCATCAAAGCAACGAATTCATAAGTACGTGAATGAGAGGGTACTGAAAACACACTATAGCATAACATAACAGTGAACTGGATTCTTCAGTTCTCCTTTTGTGTAGAAACAGCCAAGAGGAGAGGAAGGTGATGAAGAGAAAACCAAAGCCTTGTTTTCTGCTGACCCTCACTATGTGGCAGAAATGGAGAGCGGAACCATATGACAAGGCACCCATTCTATTTCCTTGTCACTAAGCTGGATTGAATAGCTTTCCCCGGGCCAGATTCTGCATACAGTCCATGATCCTTCATAGGTATAACCCGTAAGAGAGACATGAATTGAAAAACAAACCCAWAAAACCTTAACAGCTGATGCAATCAAGATTATATATAAAAATATATAACATTTAAAAGTATAAATATATTCATACATATATACATAATATTTAAACAATAAATTTACTCTGCTTTATCACGTATAATCCCAGGAACTTGAAATTAATACATGAAACTTTGTAAAATGTAAAAGAATCTGGCCTTTCAAAACCAAATGTCTTATCACTGTTTCATTTTATCCCCCTCCTTATTTCCAGCATTCTAGCCTACAGGTTGTGTTTAATTTCTCCAAATACAAGATGATTTTCTCTTACTTCCCTTTAATGTACAAAAAGAAGCTTCCAAAGGAGAATCTTCAACCATTGGAACATCCACACTTCAAAAGTTCTTTCTCTTTGTAGTGTGAATGGTGAAAATAGATCKTAAGGCCCTGCTGAAAGTGGTATCTGTTGAGAGCATCACCTGGCTCTGGACATCATTCTAATATGCTAGTGGGATGTGGCTGCAAGAAGCATCTCACAGGCATACAGAGCTCAGTGATATGAAGAAAAGAAGTATCAAGGCTATGCCAAGGAAAGGATAATGAAAATCCAGAYGCTGCTTCTCTGTCGCCATTTTCACCCAGCCAACAAACACTCAGCCTTAGCACGTCACCGTGACGCTGCCGCGTGAGGTAGCACTGGCGCATGAGAGCTTAGTCCTAAAATCCTTGGCTAGAAGAAGATTTGGAGTGACACCGCGACACACAGGGAAGATGAAGTGTTCAGGGCACTGTCGCGATGAGGACAGCCTGCAGAAGCAGCAGGAGAGCTGCCCTCCATCCTCGCCTCCCCATGCATCCCCCGAGCGAGGCTTAAGGGATGCCCCCAAGGGATATCTGAAGCAGAAAAAGATCCATGTCTGTGTAGCAAGGGTGGCAGCATTAGTACAGTAGTGAAGAAAGATGGGAGTTTGATTCGGTTTTATACCGTCCATAGGCTTTAGAAGGGCTGTTCAGTGAATCCTGCTTTGCACGTGTATTTGTTTAATTCTTCTCACTCCCTCCTGCTGATTTTCAACSTTAATCCTCCTTCAGCCTAAGTGAACTTTTTTTATCTTAGTGCAACTTGTCATAAAAATGGTGGAGAGTAAATTTGGTTTCTTACAGTTGAATTTGCTGTAGRTATGCCAAGCAACCTGCAGCCAAGGAGAAGTATGAAATGTGAGATAGAGCCTCAAAATGAGAGATTAATAAAGATGAAAGTAAACAACATGAGCAGCTTGAATGAATGCCACTTTTGTTCTTTCTAAATGCACACGAACGTGAAGTCCTAACTCCAGTTTCACAACGTATCATTCTGACGTAAACGGCTTACACAAGAAATACAGAGAGAGGCAGATTTTAATGGGTTCTGTTAACCTCTGAAGATAAGGCCAGGACTGCACAAAGCAGGACACTTCCTCTTGCCTGRCTTTAATGAACAGGGAAAAAAAAATGGAAGGGAAGAAACTTTGCCATGGGAACACCCAAACATTTGAGGGGCACAAAGCTCATTCCGTTGTGCAACTGAAAGTGCTGGAGTGCACAGAACATTTACTCATTATTGAGCAGCTTCGGTTTAGATCATAGCTAAAAAAGTTTCCCCATAACAACTAGCAAAGTTTCGGGAGGCGTCTCCAAGCCTGGCAGCCGGGCTAAAGGGGAGCAGACAGCAAACACCACGCGCTCGCTCGCTGTGGTCATCGCTCTGCTCTGTTGCCCTGTTTTGGGCAGATTTCTCCCATGATTGGTTGCGTATGGAGAAATGGGTACAAACTTGGTTCACACTTCAAAACAAACAGGGAAAAACAAACAAGGGGGTGGCAGAGGAAACTGATGTTTCAAAAGAATTCGCTAGGGCTGTGCAACTTGTGAGCTGAGGCAGATTACTGCAAGTCTGGGTATGCCCTAATCCACACGCAGTGAGCCCTGAGCTCTGCTTTACCTTTCTCTTAGAGAGACTCCTGCGGCCCACTCAGAAGATAGAAAGGACAAGAGAGACGGGCTTTACAAGGACGTGTTCGCTGTGTGATCTGTTTCCCATAGCGCTGCTTATGCTCGTGACACAGGCCCACCTCTGATCTCAAGAAGCAAGGCACTGGCCTGGCAGCTCCTCCTTCATAGAGGGAGCTCTCGGGAGCCACCTGACGTGCAGCACCTTAGTGCCAGGTCAAGCGCACAACAGGCCGTGTCGTGATGTCATGGGCCCGTCTGCGAGGTTTCAGAAATTGAGCCCATCTGGCTACCTGGCCTGGCCCAAACTGCCTCACGTCTCACACAGCCATCACTGGAAGGATCTCCCTTAAGCAGGTGCCAAGGTGCCCTTGCTACGGCCAGCACAGCAGCTGTACACAGCACAAACAACCAGACACCCCTACAACCAGAACTGATGACTGCCACAGTGACTGCTTGGGGCTACAATGGACGGTATCATCGAAAGCATTCCTTGGGTAGATTCAAATTATGCCACCCTGGACTAACACTGTGGTCCTGTCCTCTA